CTTCTGTTGCTTATCATATAAACAATAACAAGTAATACCAATCCATTGTTGTCTTTTCTCTCATTCGATTATGCATTTTTCCTTTGACCTTTCTAAAATTCCATATAATGTCACTCATCACGTTGACAGTAACATCCATCTCATCACTCTATATCATAAATCCATCTATTTTTTCATAACTCTCTAATTACCTTATAACCATACCAACTTGTATTTCGTCATCATTTGACCAAAACACAACTTTAAATCTTCTTTAATTGTGATTAAACATATACTTTAAGGAGTCAAACAATATTTTCACATCACCTTGCACACTTTTCGTGTTTCTATATCGAACTTATCATTTACACTTCCATACAAATCCTCACTTCATTCACTATATCACGTTTATGTAATCAAAATATACAACTATATCTAATACAATTTCATCACAAAATATTGTTAGTCAACGCTAACTCTTTCATTCTAAAGTATAAATCCTTATCATCTCCACACTCTTTCTTATACACAATACTATCCCTTTGTTTCAAATTCATAACTCTGATTCCATTCATATAATGTTACTTATCCTGTAGACAGTAACATCAATTCTTATCACTAAAAATCAAAAAAAAATCAATCAATTCATTTCTTTCCTCATTTTCTAATTAATTCACCACAATCCAAACTTTTACTCATTCTTTCATCCTTGTCGGTATTACGATACACATAATCTCTTCATATAACCTTATATACTTTTCTTACTTCTAATCAAACTTATAATTTGCACTTCCTTATAACCCTTTATCATATTTACTCATTTAAACACCATCTTTTCATTTCTTTATCCATTTGTCCTTTTATTATCAAAATCTTCTTATATACAAATCATATCTTTCCTTCCATGTTCACATACTCTTGTCTTATCACTTATTTTTATCTCTGTGTAACCATCTTCATTGCATCCTCATAACTTTGATATCCCTATTTCTTCTACCGATCTTTATTCTTTATCATCTCTTGTATTTGTATTTTCTTCTTTAAAGCCACTTTTAAAACATACCAATGCTTATCTCTTTGCCTACATCATATCGGTATGATCAAGATACATAACCACATCTAGATTCATATCATATTTGATTAACTCCACTTTATCTTTCCTCTAATCTTATAACTCTAGCACCTTTACTCTGACAGCTAGATAATAACTTTTGTTCAATCTAGGGCACAAACCCTATTATACCAATCATATACATCTATTCCAATCTAAATTATCTTAAAATTCGCTTACTCAACTTATCAATTTCACTTCTATTCTCATACCTCCTGAAATTTCTTTTGCTCAAACTCAACATTCTGACTTCCTGTGTCCTATAATCTGATCATCGATATACACATTCTCAAACTCTTCTTATCAATCCTCAGTTTTACTTAAATATACAAATTCTTACTTCCTTTTCCTTTACTATACCACATTACTATGATCCAAATATGCAACTGTATCCAGATCCCTTGCAGATTTGGTTATCATATCCTAACAATATCTTATAATCTTATAATTCCAGTACATTTTTATCACATACTCTAGTTAGCCAATGCTAACTCTTTCCATCTTAACTGCAAACCCTTATCATAAACATACTCTTGTTTATGCGTAATACTATCACTTCATTTCAAACTCATAAGCTTTGACTTTATACATCTTATACACTTGTCACTGATACACTTATCCTTGAGTTCTTCTATACGTACTCACCACGTCATTAAATCTTTTTAACATTCTTATGGTGACACCTGTTCACCATATTCTATCTTATCCACATAATAACAAAACTACTCTATATCATGTTTCCGATTCAAAACAATGAAAACTTTCTATCATTATTCAGATATGATTTCAGCTTTCTGAAATCAACTTTTGATCTTACTAGGCATTTCCTGAGGTGTCCGCTCTTCATCCTGCCTGGCCAGGGCAGGTGAATAGCTATCACAATCAGGAATATCACCTTTCACTTACTTCGAAATTATCACGATCGGATTTCTACTGTATTAAACTATTCTTATTCTATTAGCAAGACAACATATTCCTTACACTATCAGATCAGAAATTTTTCAATCTATGTTGGCATGTACACCTTTTATGACACTTTGGACTTCGGTTTATGCTGAGAATCGGCTAAACCTTAGCTCTGATACCATTAAATGTAACACTCCCAACCCGTATCCGACCCGGATACGAGTCCGAAGTGTCACATTGACTTTTCAAACATTTATTCGTATAAAATAGTGAGTAATTTAAAAAATTTGATAACAGTTAACTCATTCAAAACGTTTACAAAATATATCAGAGTTCATACAATTTATATCTTTAGACTACATGCCAACTACACTCTATAACCAGTACATATATTTTCTGATCTAACATTTGGTAAGGAGAACTGACATGTCTTGCTCCGCATTACTCTTTACTCTTCTCGAAACCTACGTGTGAAACAATCACATGCTAAGTCGAAGACTTAGTGAGGCATAAAAACTTATAATGCACTTTATAACATATATAAATACATGCATGTTCTGTTCTATCATGTTATACCAAATTACATGCTTTCTTCGTATCATATAAAATCATATCAGATTAATTACAGTAAATACATACATACACATAACTCATCATTAACAGTTTATCATGTAATCACATACTTTTATGCTTAACATTTTCAATCAAACACTATACACACACAACATCATATCATTTCTATAACATTTATCATACCACTAACATATACTTGTTCATATCTCTGGATTAGCCCATGTACATATGTGAGAACTATAGATATGTGAGTTTATGGAGGTTGTGCACTAATGCTGTCACCACAGCTCATATAAATGCACTGAAGTGCCACATAGAATTGCACCGTAGTGCCGCATAGAATTGCACCATAGTGCCATATAATAATGTCCATAAGGACCACATATCATTCCTTAAGAATCATATACATATACTAGGGATCAAGTATGCGTCTCACCAGACTTCACACATGTTCCAAAGAATACATATATGTCCCAAAAGGACCACAATGTCCCAAAAGGACCACAATGTCCCGAAGGACTACATATCATTCCTTAAGAATCATATACATATGCTAGGGATCAAGTATGTGTCTCACCAGACTTCACACATGTTCCAAAGAATACATATATGTCCCGAAGGACCACAATGTCCCAAAGGACCACATATCATTCCTTAAGAATCATATACATATGCTAGGGATCAAGTATGTGTCTCACCAGACTTCACACATGTTCCAAAGAATACATATATGTCCCGAAGGACCACATAGACCCTCGACTCTTGGCATGCCAATTATACCCCTAGCTCTCATGACACATAACATGGGCATTGTCATTTAACAGTTCACATTACTTGTCATTTCTCTTCTGTCACATACCATATGTATGTGTAATCATGTATTCCATATCATATCACATGTTCATATAAGCTCATAGCTTCTTTCACATATACATGTAATCACTTAGTCTATTTTCATGTAATTCTTTTCACTTCTCATATGATTTTATATTCATATCTCACATATTTCATATAGTCACTTGGCTTATTTCATTTCACATTGGGCATGTCTCATAGCATATATCACACATGCATATAATCATGTAACATATATAATAACCTATATCCATTTCATGTATCCATGCACATACCAAAATTATAAATCAAATAACATTGTATTATTACATACTTTGTTCCATAGCCATATATTTACATATCTTATACTTACCTAGTTTACTCTATTTTACACATAGTCACATAATCACGTAATATAATTACGCATAGATCATTTTCATACCTAAATCATATAACACCCAATTCTTCCTTATAAAGTTATATATTATATTCATATAATATCATATTCCCATGCAATCATATAGACCATTCATATTAATTCCTATACTTATCACAATACATGTATTCACACAATCATTTAACACATATTGTAATATATATATCACATATACCCAAATCAAACATATGCCTATGATCATAAATTAATGCATTATAATATAGGAAATAGACTCGTCGCAAGTCTTATTTCCATTAAACATCATAAACTAACTTGTATGCACTCACCTGGCCTCACTAGTCCATTCCAATCTCTTATCTTCCCTTTTTATCGATCTTACTTGTCAATGATTCCGGAACTCGTTTAGGCTCTGAATCTACATAATAATTCATTGATACTTATCAGTATACTAATTAGTATATTCTAAACTATCATTTCTTAGGCTAAAAGAAAAGCCATTTTCATCTTTTAATGGAGGCATGCATCGATGCACTCCTGATGCATCGATGCATTGAGGGCATTCGATGTTCATTTTATTAGAAATGCATCGATGCACTCCTTATGCATCGATGCACTGACGACATTCGATGTTTGTTTTTAAATTAATGCATCGATGCACTTCATATGCATCGATGCGCCTTCAACAAATTTCTGGGATTTATCATTGATGCATCGGTGCATAATGAATGTGCATCGATGCACATTGCCCAGAAATGTCATTTAAGCACGAAAGTCTCTTCTTACTCTACTTGACACTTTATATTTCCCCTCTTTTAATATCCCTAACTTGCATACTCTTACTTAAACTAATTATTATCCATTAAATACTTCTAAAACTTAGAAATCTAATTCTCCATGTAGAATTTAAGAATCTAACCCAAATTCCAACATGTTCTAATTTGAATTCTAACACCTCATACTTCTTAGTTAGCTTTATGACAAGTTAAATCCCATTTTCAATTCTTATTATGAACTCTACTTCAAGATTTCACTTTTCTACTTCCTTTCTTTAATTCTTCATATACTCCTCATCTTATGGTTTTAAGTTAATCTAAGCTTTCTTTAAGCTTAGTTATTATCTAAGGATCAATAAGCAACCTTAAATTCATCAAGAATTTGATTCACAAGAAAACTCACATTTAGCTTGGCTTCACGGGGGAGAAGAAGAAGAAGATGAAAGAAATGTCTAGAACTCTAATTTTTCTCCCAAATGCCATCCACGTGGGTTATAAGATAACCCCAAATAATATTAAATTCATTTACTTGATAAAAGACTAGTTTGCCCTCTTAACTTTTCCTTATATGCTAAATTATCCTTCTCCAAATATTTTAATCCAGTTCATGAACTTTCAATTTATCTAATTTGGTCACTGAAATTAAAATCTCACAGTTTGATCACTAACCCGGTATGAGGGATGTTACAACATCAATTTCATAGAATCGTTAAGATTGATGGAGAATCAAATAATTCAAGAGTTAGTCGTAGTTCCCGCGGTTCAACAACCCCTTTGTATCACCTTTTTTCAAGGTAAAACTCCATTTCAACTAAAGATGGGGATGATTCATCTTCTTTTTACCTTTAACAATCTTTCCAGTGAAAGTGCACATAAACATTTGGCATAATTCCATTTGGTTTTTTCAAGCATGAAACCACATGGAGTTTCCGATGACCAAATTAAATTAAAAACTTTCCCTTTTTTTAGCCTATATTGTTAAAGGGTGGTTATTTTATTTACAGCTGAATTCTGTTCAAACTTGGAATGATTTAACTTGAATTTTTCTTGACAGGTTTTTCCCAGTAGCAAAGGCAAGTGAATTGAGGAGAAGCATATTGGGAATTAAACAAAAAGATGGGAAAAATAATCCTCTTCAGCAAAAACTTTCAAATGATATATCATAGGCAAAATAATGCAACATGGCATAATCTAATTGTGCCAATTAATCCTCTTCAACAAATTTTCAATGATACATCAACACATTTTAGAAAACTTTTCAGTTGTGATATATCACTTCATAACAAAAAAGTGCATTTCTCATAGGCAAATTAATGCACTATGGCAAACAAATTTTAGCGCCCAATTAATCCTCTTCACTAACTTTTAAGTGATATATCAACTCATTTAAGAAAACTGCTCAGTTATGATATATCACTTCATATCAGAAAAACGTACATTTCTCATAGGAAAAATAATGTACCATGGCAGAACCTTTTCAGTGCCTAATTAATCATTTTCAGCAACTTTTCAGTGATATGCCAATTCATTTAAGAAAACTTTTCATTGGTGATATATCACTTCATATAAAAAAACGTATATTTCTCATAGGTAAAATAATGCACCATGACAGAAACTTTTCAGTTCACAAACTTTTCATAAATCTATTAATATGTGTGAGGTGAAAGACTCATTTAAAGCAAAAAATCTAAAACAGTTTTAGTCTTTGAGTTTTTTTAGAACTTGACAACTATTAGCGCAACTGTTTTTTATGATTGCAAATATTTAACCATGTGTTTCAAAAAAATTTCAACTAGACGAGTTGAAGTTCAATATAGAAACAAGAGTTCAACTCGGAAGCAATAGAAAAATATCTTCGTTATATTATAAATTGCAACTATTGTACACGAGGTTTCATCTAAGCGATGATGTCGATCTTGCTGGTATGATTGAGACATACTTCTATCATTCTTTGTCTAATGTCGATTTTTTTTGCAGAATTCGTTGATCTCGACCTTGCTCGTACGGTTGAGGATGCTACTTCCAGCTCGAATATCCCACCAACTCAGACAAATGACGAGGAAACAAACATAGATGATGGAGACCTAGAAGCATGGTTCTAATTTGTACGTGAACGACATTAAGAAAAAGCATGGAGATTTGAAGAACTTAATATTACTTCTGATGAGTTTACTGATTACAAAGATTAAAACATCATAACGAATATTGCTATGTTTAAGGCGTGTGTAAGGTTAGTTGTATTTACGTCTTTAATGTAATATATTAAGTTTGTTGTTTTTTCTTCTTAATGTAATGTTCATGGTTCGTTGTTTTTGTCTCTATAATGTAATGTTTAATGATTTAATTTAATATTTATAGTTCGATGTTCTTTTAAAAATAAATTTATTACAATTTGTTTAACTTTTCAGTGATATATCAGTATGGCCACTCAAATATCGTAACCTCAACATTACGAATTTCTTTTTAAAATATAATGTTACAAAATCACAAAAATAATAATATTATTTTAAAGAAATTCATCACCAACATATTTTTAAAAAAAATTAATTTTAAATAAATAATTATAAATAATTTATTTTGATGAAATTCATCACTTCGAAGTGACATTTTTAATAAAAAATATTAAAATAATAAAGACAAAATAAAATAATAATAACCTATGAAACTTGAGGTGACGAGTTTCCTTGTATTATAAAATTGTCGCAGGTCTCGAAATAAATATTTAACAGACCTATTTTACTAATATTTTTTTCTTGTAGCTCTATTGGTAGGGATGGGTATGAGATCCGAACCAGATGGGTTCCGACCCGATCGGGTGTGGTTTTTTTAAAAAAAAATCAGATTCGGGTCGGGTCGAGTTTTTTTATTGTGATGTTCGGGTCGGGTCGTGTTCGGGTTTATGGTGAAAAATACCTGACCTGAACCAAAAATATAATTTTACCTTATACATTTAGGAATAATTACAATAATACCCCTCTATATATTATTTTTTTCAATTAAATTATTATTTTTTATTGAATAAAAATAATATTTTTTATTATTTCAGAACAGGTCGAGTAGGGTTTTTAAGTTATATAACGGGTCGGGTTCAGATCGGATAAAATCTTATTTTGGTCGGGTCTCGAATAGAGAATTTCTTGTTCTCGGATTAGATCGGGTGGACCAAAAACCCGACCCAATTAAACTCATGCACATTCCTACCTATTTGGGCCCCCAAAAATCCCAACATAAAGCTCTGACTCACCGTAAAGCTCTGACTCTTCATGTTGAACGAGTACTCTCTTTCCCTAAAACACCCCAGTTTTCGCCGAATCTTATACATGGGTTTTTGGATTTGATCTTCAAAACACTGAATGAAGTTTTAATTTTTGAATGGGAAAAAGAGAAGCAATGAAAAATTCAAACCCCGGAAGCAATTTGCGTTGCCCTCACTGCGCTGGCCCTCTTTCCAAAGAGATGGTAAGAATCTTTTACATACACCTTATTTATTTTTCTTTTGAAATTTTAATTTTGTTTGGTTCAATTGTGCAGGACACAAGTGAATGGACTGTTGCTCCACTTGTGAGGGATAGTTTTTCTATGGTAAAACTTTTTTTTTTAATTTGGGGATTTGGGATTTATTTGCTTGTGTTATTTTATTAACCTCTTTTTGGAAAATTGGATGCCCCCCCAGTTTAATGGGATAGGTTTCCAGTATTACAATGTTTTTACAGTCGTTGCTTCGTTTTTTTTGTTTTCATTTTTTTTTTGTGTGCTTTTGAGGGTGGCTTAGTTTGTGTGTTTATGGTTGTTATTGTAGATTGGCTCTGCTGTTGGTGGCACTACGAGCGCGTTCTACGGCTTCAACCTTGGTATATAGATCTGTTTCTTCTTCTTCTTTTTTTCACCAATTAGATGTAGCTCAGTTGGTATGATTTGATCAGGAATTTAAATTAAAGTTGCGGCCATGCTTTCGATTGCCTTGTGTTTATTGCGGATGCTATTGCGGTCACTGTGCGTATCACGGTCATGCAAATAACAGTTTCGGACGAATTTTAAATCCCTGAATTTGATTATAAAGTTGTAATTCAAGCTCTTTTAAATGATAATCATGGCTCCTTCAATGACTTAACTTTCTGCAAGCTCTCTGTAAACTTATTCCTTTTTTATGTGAAAGGATTTTCCTTTTATGGGACAATATTTTTCCAATATTTCTTCAGAAGTGTCAATTTCAAATAAGTCTTTTCCATTTAATGTTTTTTGGTGATGATTGGTTTTTAGATAAAGCCAATGCCTTGTTTAACTTCAAATTTGCATCATACTTAAATCGAACTAGCCTGAATTTTAATGCTGCACTGGTGCTTGAAGTTCCATGTTATAGATTCTATTCAAGGTCATATGAATGTTTCATTCGTCCTCTGAAATATGTGCCATAAAACTTATTATGCCGGCATAATTCTATGATCTATTTGTGTATTTACTATGTATATTCTTGCTTTCTGATGTCTTTTTGACACAATGACTCGAGAAAAGTTATTTTTTGATTCCTCGCATGTCAAGAACAGCGTTTCGATTGTCTTTCTGACTAGTATATTTTTTTTCGGTGCAGTTATGCCGGTAGTCAGGAAATATGTAAAAGGACCCATGTGGGTGCATTTTCTTGTTGGGGTAAGTTCTTTATAGGCCAATTTTCTTGATTTATCAATGTTTGGTTTACAAGGCATAGATTTACATATGCCTTAGCTCTTGGTTTTCATTCAGCCCCTCATCCATAAACACCATTTGGCTGAATTTTTGCACTGGATACTCTTTTACTCATATTTTATTCTCAATGAAAAGCATAACTTACATTACTAATCTTTATTTACATGTAGACACCGCCTGTGATAGTGTTATCGTCTGCTTGTGCAGGAGTGGCAGGTTTGAAATTCTCTTTAATGATCATCTTATTTGTTTGACCCATATTGATATTTTGTGTGTGCTGGAGGTCCTCTCGTAATATTACGTGCACTTGTTCTTGTCATTAGATTGCCTAGCCAATGGATTGATATTTATTAGATGTTGAATAGTTCTTAGACAATTGTGTTCTATAAACAATTTGTTGGTAGTTAAATCCTATGTGGAAATATACAATCTCTATACATTTTTTTATAGAATTCTGATCATAATAAGTTAATATTGTATTATTGTCTCAAAAGATTGGATCATAGCACCATCCTTGTGTTACAAGATTTGATGGAATCTGGTTTCATCAAATCATGTTTGCTTGGACTAACGGTTGCTGCATGGCAACTCCATTATATCGGAGAAATCCGCAGGTGGTGCTGTTCCAGCCCTTGCTCAACTTGCTTCTTCATCGTACCATGCTGCGTTCTCGTCGTCTTCGTTGCCTAAAACATCTCGGGATGATAAGGTGCACAAGTCCAGGACCAACTCTACTTTGTAATTAGACAAATATATATATATAGCATCTTCGTCCATTACCTTGAAATTTTGTATTGTTTGAGGATACAAGGATTTTCCTTTCTCTTTATAATGACTACGTTCTGCTATGTTCACCCTTTTTATTTTAGTCAAATTTCAAGTGTATAGGCAGACGAAATCTATTTAATTTTTCTTCATTTTGGATCAAAACAAAGTTACAACATCAGCGAGTATATTGCAGAAAATTTCAGGCAAAGGCCTGAAACAGTTAATTAAGTATATGAACAAAAAGAAAAAAATCAATTATCCTGTGTCCGAGGTGCACTTTCACTCCCTGTCATGACCTCCAACGATGAAGCTGAAATAGAACCACTTGCGGAACCTTGTAAGGCCCGTAAACGCTCATAATGCCACGTAATTGGTATCCAATACAGTCTTCTGGTCCGGAGTCCTCCGCCACTTTGTGCATCTGCAATGTCAACTCTCCCTTCACCATCGGCCCCAATCTCCGGATCATCCCAAGGAGCTTAAACCTGCATATTGGACAAGAACTATGAAGTTCTAGCTGTGGAGTAATACATGCACAATGGAATTTATATTTGCACGGCATCTCTTTCGCTTCATTTCCAATCTCAATATCCTCCAAACACACAGAACACTGTAATTTGTCATCGACTGTAACATTCAGCATTGATTCAATTGTTTCTTTCAGTGCTGGTGGGGTTCCATGGTGGTTTATTTCATTCTCGGACAAATACTGCAGCAAAAGATCCCAACCATGTCCCCATTAAGTAATCACCCAACGAAGCATGGACAATCAAAGCACCATCGTTGAATGGATCGGATAAGGTCTTTCTCTCTCTCCTTTCTCCATTGTTTTCGGGATTCTCGGGTTCAGAGACTGCTACATTAGGTATATCCTCGAGCATATGATTAGAAGATTGGAAGGTTTTATTTATAAATTTTAAATAATTTAATTAAATAATTTTATATCCAATCAGGTGGTGACACATTGAAATGAAAACAAAGGGACCAACATGCTTGTAAGGGGAAAAAGCTACCAAACACCCAAACCATTGGACCAAAGGTCCCTAATGTTTTAAACTTATAATAATTTGTATTTAACTTTTAAAAGTTTGTTAATGATAAAAAAATTAAACAAATTACTATTTAAATCAATTGTAAACTGTTTTTTGAATTAAAAATATTCAATTGTTATATAAATTAGAAAATTCTAGTTAATTCGAAAATTGACTGAATTAACTGAAATTTGTTCAATTCGATTAATAATTTTCAAATAAATTCGGTTCGTTAAAGAAAAAAATCGGTTAATTCAGCTCGGTTAATAATTTCGAAATAAATTTTGGTTCGATTAATGGATAAAGAAAAAATTGGTTAATTCGGTTCGGTTAATCGAACCAAAATTTATTTGAAAATTATTCACTGAACCGAATGAATTTGAAAATTATTAACCGAACCAAATTAACTTTTTTTTAAAAAAAATTAATAACCAAATTAATCGAAGCAAAATTTTGGTTAATTCGGTTCGGTTAATTGAAAAAAAATTTATTTGAAAATTATTAACCGAACCGAATTAATTTGAAAATTATTAATCGAACCGAATTAACCTATTTTTTTAAATTATTAACCGAATTAATCTAAGAAAAATTTCGGTTAATCAAACTAAAATTTATTTAAAAATTATTAAACAAACTGAATTAATTTGAAAATTATTAACTGAACCGAATTAACCGAATTTTTTTCTTTAACCATTAATCGAACCGAAAAAATTTCGGTTAATTCGGTCAATTTTCGAATTAACCAAAAAAAATTTAAAATTTTCTAATTTATATAAAAATTGAATATTTTTAATTGAAAAATAGTTTACAATTAATTTAAATAATAATTTGTGGAATCAAATAATTTGTTTAATATTTTATCATTAACAAACTTTTATAAGTTAAATACAAACTGTTGTAAGTTTAAAATATTGGAGATCTTTGGCCAAATGATTTAAGCGCCTGGTAGTTTTTCCCTGACGCAGGTTCAATTCCCCATGCAAGCATGTTGGTTTTTTTATTTTCATTTCAATTGGTGTCACCACCTGATTGGATAGAAAAATATTTAATTAAATTATTTAAAATTCATAAATAAAACATTTTAATCATGTATTGACACGTGTCATGTTCTAATTGGATAATTAAATTTATTTTATTGAATTAAAATAGTGATTAAATTGATAGAATATGTAAATATTAAGGACCAAATATATAATTATGCCAATTTTATTAACGGACACGTCATCACCTCAGTTAAAAATTAACGGCCGGTGGTTTGATTAAATCAATTAAACAGTTGGGTGGTCTGATTGACTCAATTGAAAATTCGGTCGGTGATCATATTGATATTTTATCATAGTTTAGTGGTCTCCCTTATAGTTTACCCTTTTCAAGAACTAACCACTCGAGAAAATAGGGGAATTTTAAAATTTAAAAAAAAATCTCATGAAATTAGCAACTATTCACAGCACCAACGTTATAGTTGTAGCAGCCACTATTCCACTCCCCATCAAGATGCAAAGCCAAACCTAAAGAGTGTCTTGATGGTTTCATTAGCTGGGCCAAAGTCGTCAAGCTCATGAAGGCGCCCGAAGCTTCGATCAGCCATAAAATCCTATTTTATGGTGAATAAGATAGTAGGTGGCGCGGTTAGGAAAATAAGATGAAAATTATGGAACTCCCGATGATCACAGTAGGGTAGGTTAGCAATATATATATATATGAATACATATCTTTGGCCATTCGTACTTACCCCTTTATTTTATATATATTTCAATTTTCAACTTTCAAAAAATTGAAGAATCGCAACCTCGAGGCAAGGATCACGATCTTGCCTTGTTAGGTATGGCTCATAAATATACCAGTAAAGAGGACAGGAGATGGAGCGGAGTGAGCGAAGCGAACATCAACTGTCCTTACAAAGAAAGTCTCGTTGTGGGGTTACAAATTATGTGGGTTGGGGGTGCGGGGGCGTAGCCCCGCGGTACGGTACAGGGTTGATTTTGTAATTATGTACCAGGGTTTTCTATTATAAATAGAGATGTAACCTAGACCTAAAATATCATTGAATAAAATTCTAGCGCCGCCTAGGCACCGAGGACGTAAGCACATTGCCGAACCTCGTAAAATTCTCGTGTTCTTTCGTTTTTCTTTACCCATTTTCGTCAACAATTGGTATCAGATGTCAGGAGCAAAATTCGAAGTCGCGAAATTCGATGGTCAGGGTAACTTCGGATTATGGCAAACGAGGGTGAAGGATCTATTGGCGCAGCAAGGGATCTTGAAGGCTTTGCGACCTATAAAGCCAGCGTCGATGGATGAGGAAGATTGGGAAGAATTGCAGCAGCGAGCGGCAGGAACCATACGATTATGCTTGGCGGACGAGGTCATGTATCACGTCATGCATCTATCGTCTCCAGACGAAATTTGGAGGAAGTTGGAAAGTCAGTTTATGTCCAAATCCTTAACGACAAAACTGTATCTGAAGCAGCGGCTGTATGGGCTGAAGATGCAGGACGATCACGATTTGGCGCAACACGTGAATGTCTTCAATCAAATCGTTTCTGATCTGGCTCGGCTTGATGTGAAAATTGAGGATGAAGACAGAGCGATGATTCTGTTGTGTTCGTTACCTTCCTCTTACGAACACATGGTGACTACTCTTACATATGGGAAAGAGACTATCAACGTTGAGGAGATTACTGCAGCCTTGTTGGCTCATAACCAGCGGAAGCAGAATGCAGGGGAAAGCTCTCAAGCCGATAGCTTATATGTCAAGGGTAATCGAGATCGTGGACGGAAGCCAGAGAAGGCAGGGTCCGGGAAGCGGAATTCCAGATCTAAATCCAGGGATAAGAAGACGATTCACTGTTACAAGTGCAAGGAGGCGGGACATATGAAGCGAGACTGTCCGAAGTTGAAAAAGCAGACTGATGAGAAGTGTGATGGCTCATCCAAGTCTGTGAACGTGGTCGAGGATGATACTTCTGATTGCAGTGAGGGTGATATGCTTTCTATTTCAACGACACAATTGACGGATGCTTGGATTCTTGATTCTGGATGTTCTTATCACATCACGCCAAATAGGGAATGGTTTTCGACATACAGGCCGGTTAATTCTGGTTCGGTTTATTTGGGTGATGATCGATGTTGCAATATTGTTGGTATTGGTGATGTCAGAATTAAGATGCACGATGGCTCTGTTCGGACGTTGAGTGGTGTTCGACATATCCCAGACTTGAAGAAGAATTTGATTTCCTTGGGCACTTTGCACAAGAATGGTTTTATCCCTAAGGCTGACGAGGATAGGGAAACCATTCGGATTGTTAAAGGAGCATTGACTGTGATGAAAGGCAAGATGACTGCAGGGAATATCTACAGATTGTTAGGGAGTACCGTTGCAGGTGGAGTTCACTCTGTTGAGTCCTGTGATGATACGACAAAATTGTGGCATATGCGCCTTGCTCATCTTAGTGAACGTGGTATGGCATAATTACACAAGAGAAACTTGTTGCATGGTGTCAAAAGCTGTAAGCTCGATTTTTGCAAGTATTGTGTTCTTGGTAAACAAACTAAAGTCCGTTTCAAGACTGCGAAGCACACAACTCAAGGGATTCTTGATTATGTGCATTCTGATGTATGGGGGCCTTCCACGACATCGTCTTTGGGTGGATCTAGGTACTATGTTACTTTTATTGATGATTTTTCACGGAAAGTTTGGGTGTATTTTTTTGAAACAGAAATCTGAAGTTTTTGAGAAGTTCAAGCTGTGGAAAGCTGAGGTAGAAAACCAAACAGGACGAAAAATCAAGTGTTTGCGGTCTGACAATGGTACGGAGTACACAGATTCACAGTTCCTACAATTCTGTAAGGAGCATGGGATTCAGAGGCATTTTACAGTGCGCAAGACACCACAACAGAATGGTGTTGCGGAGCGAATGAACAGGTCGTTGAATGAAAGAGCCAGATGTTTGCGGTTGAATGCGGGGCTTCCCAAACACTTCTGGGTTGAGGCTGTTAACATGGCGTGTTACC